CATCTGTACTACGAAGTCGCAGTTTTACTTCCCTATCAGGACATTGATGAGACTGGCTGCTTCAACCATGCCAGTCAGTCAAAGTCAATCCAAACAGACAGTGGCTATGGCATCAAAGCAGGCACAGATATTAGACAACAACACGTCTCGCTCCAGGCCGGAAGTCGTGCGCACAGCGTGCTATGGTGAAGGGCCGGACCCAACTTGCCGTTACACACAGACGGTGAAGGGGCGGACCCAACTAGCTGTTACACTACAGATGGTGAAGGGGCGGACCCAACTAGCTGTTACACTACAGATGGTGAAGGGGCGGACCCAACTTGCCGTTACACTACAGATGGTGAAGGGGCGGACCCAACTAGCTGTTACACTACAGTGTCTACAGATGGTCAATGGCCAGACTTAACTAGCCATTACACTACAGATGCCCTTGTGTATCTTCACTTTGGAGTACTCTCAAGTAGAGATACTATGGTATATACTATATATATACACACATATGCTTTAATATATATAATAATAATATCCTCAAACCCACCGTTACACAGTATCGAAAGCTGCCAGACGAAGACAATGTGGTGGGTGGGCTTGGTTCTTTCTAGCAATAATAAATTACTTTCCTTTCTTTAATCTCATTGCAGTTGTTTCATTTCAGGCCACTGATACAAAAGGAAAAGACAAAGTCTTGACCCAAAAGTAAAATAAAACAAAATTCTATCTTCTATGACAAGGATCAGATCATTTCAAGCGGGTGTTAGGCAAAGTTGATGTAATAAACAAAAAGGAAATGAGAATACCAAAATACTAAAACTGGGAGTACAGAAGAGAAAAAGCACCAGTCAAAACTGTAAGACGGCAAGCAGAAATTGTTTTTGTGTACATCAGCATCCAACTATTTCCTTTTCCGACAAAAATGTCAAGTCTTCTCAATTGGAACCAAATTCCCATTGGTACATAAAGTCTTTCCCAAAAAGGTAGGATTACTTGATAGATTTTTACTTTAATCACAATTTGTGCCAGTATATCAGTAGATAATGTGCAGTGTAGTCAACATCTAGAACAATTTTTAAAAAAAGCTTCTTTTAATTTTCTCAAGAACGTCTCATTGTAAAAATAAAAATAAAAACGGAACCAAATATAAAAGTGGTTAGCAAAAGCACAGATCAAGATTGGAGAAAATATAAGGAATAAATTTTAGACTTAATATCAAGAGCTTTCTTCATAGAACTTCTTTCAAAATAAGGTACCATACCAACAAGTGTACCAAAGACACCATATGACAGTCTTATGTCATTCACAGAATGGACAGAAGTATGACATAGTCTTGTTTCACTCACAGTCACATCAACTCTTCCAACAATTCCACTAAAAATGACAAGAGAGATCCACAGCAGGACTCCAACCTCCCACAGCTGAAAGTGCAGTCCCGAGTCTCATTGACAAATTTATAATTGATAGTATAAACAAGAATAGAAAACCGAAAAGCCCCCCCCCCCCCCCCCCCAAATGAAGATAGAACGCTGAAAACATAACAAGAGTAAGTAGCAACATAAGGACAAGGCAGTAATTACATCATAACGACATACAAATGATTCCGGTTCCTGTTCCAACAGTTGTCGAGCTATGTTCTTCAAACATTCAAGTAAAGCTGTACACATGCCTCACATGCTATATCCTACTAAGAATAAAAAAGGTAAGCTTTTTAGGGTTTTTTTGGGGGTGTGTTTTGTTTTGTTTATCCACTTCTGTAAGACTTTCAACGGTAAACTTCACAAAAACATTGGTTGTTTTGATGGTAGGGAAGTTGGTCCCAATACAAGACACCGGGCTGGAGGGAAACGATCCACAGAGTGGAGTCTGCACGGAGACGAAACCATCCACAGAGTGGAGACTGAACGGAGATGAAACCATCCACAGAGTGGAGTCTGAACGGAGGCGAAACCATCCACAGAGTGGAGACTGAACGGAGATGAAACCATCCACAGAGTGGAGACCGAACGGAGATGAAACCATCCACAGAGTGGAGACCGAACGGAGATGAAACCATCCACAAAGTGGGGACTGAACGGAGATGAAACCATCCACAGAGTGGAGACTGAACGGAGATGAAACCACCCACAGAGTGGAGTCTGAACGGAGGCGAAACCATCCACGGAGTGGAGACTGAACGGAGATGAAACCATCCACAGAGTGGAGACTGAACGGAGATGAAACCATCCACGAAGTGGAGTCTTGAACAGAGACGAAACCATCCACTCAGTGGAGTCTTGAACGGAGACGAAACCATCCACTTGGCGGAGACCACCACGTGGAGCCATCCCGCAGGTGAACTTTGTACCTGCTGACAGTGGGACAAGTCCACAAAGCAAACTGCAAGACACATTTCTCTAACTTTAAGCTCCTTACAGCAGCAATGATTAGTATTCTGTCAGGATAGAATTGATATCCAGTTGGTTTGCAGTGTACTTTGAGCATGACTTTGAACACTTGTCACATTCATGCGAGATATGAATTTTGAGCTCCATCTCTCCTTTTGAGCATCTGGAATCAGATATGTATAAAAGCATTAAACAAACAAACGCACATGATGAGAAAATAAACACTTTAACTTTAAGCAAGAGTCAATGCTTTTCGTACTTTTCTATCTCCTGTACCTCCAGTCAGTTAACTGAACCAACACTTATTACCTTCAGAATACCAGTAACACCCTCCCCCCTCCCCTTTTCCTCAGCAACTGATTAAATTTCTAATAAGCATAAAATACCATCACAAAAAAAGATGATGAGTTATTCCACAAGAGCCTACTTTACTATCTTCCTCACACTCACGCTAGCCGGGGTCTCATCTCACACCCCTTGATGGTTGTCCGGGCCAGAGGCAACCAAACTTTGGTCAAAGCGTGTCTGTTAAATGACTGAGAGACGCCACCAAACTTTGGTCAAAGTGTGTCAAATGACTGAGAGAGGCCACCAAACTTTGGTCAAAGTGTGTCAAATAACTGAGAGAGGCCACCAACCTTTGGTTAGAGTGTGTCAAATGACAGAGAGGCCACCAAACTTTGGTCAAAGTGTGTCAAATAACAGAGAGGCCACCAACCTTTGGTTAGAGTGTGTCAAATCACTGAGAGAAAATGCCGGGCATGAGCCAGATAGCTATTTTGTTGAATACAATACACGGACTAAATAGTAAATGCACTGGCCAAAAGTTACAGAGTCTATAAGTCTATATAAAAGCATGTTTAATTTGCATTGTAGAGAGTTCAATGAAAAGATTCTGTTACATAACGATGATCAGGTCCAAACCAACCGACCACGCTGACTAAATACGATCCCCAGGCCATAGTTTGTAGACCCCCGGGTCTCAAAGAATGAGCGGTCTAAAAAGTTAGATTAATCAACTCCTCTATACATGATGCCTTCCACTCCATGTTCCCATGATATCATCTTCCTCTGGCAGCTCAGCCCCGTGTGTGATCACGGGCGCTCACACAGAGAAGAGTTCAGAGGGGTTTTACAGAGTGGGTGCACAATATCAATGCCACATTCCAACTAGTAAGTTAAAGACTGGTATAAAAAAGAGAGAGAGATGAGCCAGGAACAGTAACTAAAACCAGTATTGCACACATTCTCCTGGCTTTCAATCAAATGCATATAAATTAAATTTAGAACCAAACTCAAAATGCAACCAAGTAGTAACTAATGCAAATTGCACTTTCTTCTTGCCAGTTCGGAGATACTTTGGATGCCTAAGCTGCAGAAGAAGTACAAGCATGAAAGATTACTCGTAATGAACTACGTAATGTTCAGCAATAGTCCTTCACCCTCCACAATATTTTTACAAGGCAAAACATTGACCTACCATATCAGGGAAGATTTGTAACATTCATGTATGATCATAGTTATCAAAAAAAAAAAGCAGCCATCATTCAATTTACTCAAAGCATCAATAAACAAACATTGCAACAAAGAAGGAAGTATGGTGAACAAAACTGATACAAAATGAACACAAAGATAACCTCAGCAAAAATAAAAACCTAACAACATGCAAGTACAATGCACTGACAATGTAAACGTAACTTCACAATAATCACAAGGATACAACTAAAACAACAAAAATAAGCTAAAAATAAATTAAAAAATAGATGAATGCCCCGACACCTTCAATAATACATTGTAATGTCAGGAAATCAAGACACCCCCTCCCAAGATCATTTTCATCTGACCTTCCTGTTTCAAAGCTCAACAATAACAAACTCGAACAGAAATTAAGAAAATCTATTCCGGTTCCAAAACACCTATCATGTTGGAATGAATTACACAGACAGCTTGCTTGTAAATGACGTCACAACAGCAGCAAACATGATACAGAGTGAGAACGCCATGAAAGAACAACTGGTCGCCACGGGGATCGAGCCTCACGCCCCTTTCAGCATAACGTCCTTTTATAAATGTATTCTTTGACACTGCTGACTCTATTTATTGCCGTTCTGAACTCATAGAGTGGAGGAAAAAAATATTATTCTCTTGCCAGTAGAAGGCTGTATCAAGTACATAACATTTTTGTAAAAAAAAAAAATGGCTATGACCAAAACAAAAAAAGCGTTTTCTTTAAAAATTAAAGGTATGGCTATAAATAAAACAGCAGTATGGTTTTCATTTCAATAACTTGCTTGGACTCGGACACCATATGACATTCTGGGACAGCAACATATCTAGAATCTTTATTCACTGGTGTCAGTTCAAGTTTTGTGCATCTGCTCTTATAAATTCCATCGACCCACAGGGACACACAAAGTATAACATAACATATGTGTCAAGTTGACACTTTTGTAATTTCAACATTCATACATGTATTCATCTCATTGAACCCACAATTCTATTGTTTAATTTTTCCCCCTAGAGGTCAGAGGGCACAACCCAACCCCTGACCAAAAATTCCTATTTATCACTACCCTACCCCCCCCCCCTCATACTACAAAAATAAGTAGGTTTTTTTTTTCATGCACCAGTTTTTTTTACACAAGAAAAGAGGAACCCTCCAGGAAGGTAGAATCGTGCAAGATAAAATGAAAAGATCAGTTTATCCCAAAAACATTGATAGCACCAAAATTGTCCAAATCTAAAGAAAAGCAGTCACCTAGACCTGCAAAGGAAGAAACATAATACTAGCAAAATTTTCAAATTCATCAAAAACAGACACAGTCAAGTCCAGCTGTTTTTGGCCTATGTCCACTTGTGGTAAGGATAGAAGAAGAAAACATACTTTGTCTTTGAGAATAGAGCTTTGGAGAGGGAAAGCTGTAAAACCAAACATATTTGGACAACATGAGTTACCCTGCCCCCAACGTGAAAATTACGGTCAAAGTGCTAGAGTGGTTGCAGGAAAAGCAGCTGAAAGTAAAAATAAACCATTCCTCCTTATTTCAGTGGAGCCTTTGAGATAGATTGTCGTGACACACAGAAAGTGCAGGAGCCAGCCACTATACAGAAAGTACAGGAGAGCCAGCCACTATACAGAAAGTACAGGAGAGCCAACCACTATACAGAAAGTACAGGAGAGCCAGCCACTATACAGCCAACCACTATACAGAAAGTACAGGAGCCAGCCACTATACAGAAACTACAGGAGCCAACCACTATACAGAAAGTACATGAGAGCCAACCACAGGACAACAGCGAGTTATTTGTTAACTCTCCACTAACATCTAAATTTTTGTAAAACTCTAACGAACAAAAACAGTTTCTCCTGTCACAATATCTTTACTAGTGAATCTTGATTTGAGTAAACAAGACGGATGCTGAAAATATTTGAGGCTGAGTAGCCGACGTCTCTCCATTCACACACCGCTCCGAATTATCCACACCACTTCAAACTTGACACGGGTACATCCTAATTCTACGATACTTGACAAATGAGATCTTTATGTTGTAAATCATTTAAAACAAAACCATGTCTGCACTGTGCTAGGAAACAAGAAGCTGCCAAATTTGAGTCTGGCAGTTCCTGATCTATCTTGTCCAGACATTCGGAACTTTCCTCACTCTATGACATGTGGAGAGATTTCTTTCGTCGCTTGGTTACATAAAAATAGAATCTCAAGATGGCTGATATATCTCATTTTACAGAAAAGGACAGAAGACAAACTAAAAAATTTGATTGAAAACACAAACATTGCTGATAGAGAATTTTAGACAAATTTTCAAAGTGGAACACAACATATGATCAGAATCATCCATTACTAGAAGGGAATATCAATTGTAAATAAACAACAGCACGATTCAACCAGTGCCTGATGCACACACGCTTGACAAGTCCGGGTCTGGTGAAGCAGGCTCTTTGACAAGGCTGTTTTAAATCTAAGGACCAAATCGTAATTTCCAAACAAATGATTCTGCAATTGCTTTGAACACACTCGAGTCCCCCTGACTGCTTGTCCGCTGTCCGATAGCTTCAGGGGATGTTTAACACTGCAGACCCGTGTCTAGACCTCCCACTGCCTGCTGGCTGCAATGAGATGAATCTTGAAGCAGATCTTTAGTCCGTGCCAAAATATTTCTGTCCGAAATGACTCGGTGAAATAGGATGAATTTCTGAAGTCAAAATTCTCAAGCCAGGGAACTCGGCGATGATTTTTTTGGCCCCTGAAATATAAAACAGACAAAGTGCATCAGTCAGCATCAGTAAAGTCACAGGAATCATCATTTCAAGCATAAGATCAGTTAAAAAAACAGCTAGCAGTAATATCATAAGAATGACATAGACAGAATTGTGTAAAAAACACTAATCCTAACATTGTGGCTTTGGATGGGTGAGCTTCAAACTATGAAGCAAAGATATACATGTTAATTCACAAATAAACAAAGTGAAAGAAACACGGTCACAAATTTAAGATCTTAACATTTGACATCACAGTAAGGTATTTAAAACGATTCATGACAGCTGCTTCTCTTTTTGTCATTTACTTCTTTACAGGCACTCCCCGATGATGCAATAAGGACTGTTCTGTGCAGGGACAATGCATGGGTACAAATAAGTAGCAACAACTTATGTCCCATCAAATTAAATACAAAGCTCTGTGGAATTAAATTTGAGGTAGGCGTAACACTTTCCACCCACACAGCGCACAGAGCACACATCTGTCCCCAGTCACATGGTCAGACCCACAGCTGACAGCAACTCTGCCCTGTAAACATCCAACTATTGACAGAGCAACCATCAATTTGGGCCACACAACTGAACATTTCAAGACAATTTGTACAAAATCCCACACCTTATCTACTTTCCTTAACTTTTTCATTGCCAGGGGGTATAATGCATTCCTTCTGTCAGCACTGATTTTCAGCTGAGCTAGTTACCCAGGACAGTTTACTAATGTCTCTGTGTTAATGGACACGCAGGAGACACAAAGAAAAAAACAAGGACACAAGTTTTCTTTTAGAAACAAGCACAAGTATAATTACCATGAGGGGTGCAGAAGAGATTTAACAAGATGATGTTCTCCTGCTTGACGTTGTGCATGGCCAGGATCCTGACAGCTTTCACCACTGTGTTGCCTGTGCCTGAGGAAAGTACAACGAGATTTCTTCAACTCAGTGCTCCAGGGATCATTTTGTAAACACAATGACACTTTCAACAGATAAAAAAAACGGCGAATATACACCGTAGGTTAAAATCTCAGCTCATACTGTCATCCATAGAACCTAGGGAAATGCAGTTGAAGACCAAATTGACAGACAGTAAGCTAGATCCCTTCAGAGTATCAGGAACTAAAAAAGCAACGCTATTTATCGGTGACAATAAAATAACGATAACAGTAAATGTTTAATGCCCCCACACGATATAATTTACAGCATTTAGGAGGCAGCCTGTTTTTTCCTTCCTGCAAGACAGGAGTTGACAGAATGTACCCTGCCAGTAGGACAGGAGTCAACAAACTACAGCCAACAAGCTCAGTTCGTCTAGCCCATCGCCATGCTACCAAGCAAGGAAAAAAATCCCAACCAACATGGAAGATAAGATTGTAGCGTGCTTAGGACTTGGTCAACAAAATAATTGAATCCTTTCATCTAATCTACCGTGAAAATTAAACGTGATTTTATAGACTTCCAAACTCATCACACTCTTGCCCAGCTTTATGAAGACCAATATTCCATTGAACACATCAGTGTACTGTACTCAAGAAAACAGTCATCCGGCCTGCACAAGGCTTTCTCTCAATATCTCGCCCACCTTGAAAAACATTAATTTAGTGACACAGCTGCTTACAATGAGTATCTGAACAAAAAGATGAAGACACTAGATAAAATAGACTTCCCCATTTGGAAATCTGACTTACATTTTTTTCTACAAAATGGCGACAAGCCTCACTGTTACACCAGAGGCACCAGAGCCCCAATAGAACAGACCATCATAACAATAAAATAGCCATGTTGAAGAGATGATCATCATCATAACAATAAAATAGCAGTGTTGAAGAGACCATAATCATTATAATAATAAAATAACCCTGTTGAAGAGACCATTAAAAAAGTTTTAGTAAGAGCTTTACCGCACTTGCAACACAATAAGGTCATATAAGCGCTGAAGAATAGATTATGTGTTACAAGAGAGTAACATACACAAAAAAGAAAGAGGGGAGATAAGGATGACAGATATTTTGATAGGAAAGAAGGAGCAAACCATACCAGAGCACCCGCCGACCACCCATCATCATAATAACAAAACAGTCATGTTGAAGATCTATCTTCCCATCCAGCAGCCTTGAGATCAGCAGCTGGATCAGAAACTTACACATGATGGGATACATCAGCAAAACTTTGCGTTGGTGAATGTCCTTTGGGAGATTTGCGTAGACCACTTTGGCATCGTGAGTATCCTCGTCACTCTGGATCAATATTTTCCCTATCCGTATTGACCGGCAACAGTCGCGCAGCCCTTGCTCCATGGCTTCCCCTGTGGCACACAAGCAGTTTTATTTATATTGCCATTAGGAATAGATAGAAACAAGTGTACAATGAGTACATTATACTTTCATCATAGACTAATAAAGCACCAAAAAAAACCAACCCCTGAAAGCATGCAGGTGTTTTTCAAGGATCAAGCAAAGTTTATCATAAAACACCTAAGTTTTAATTGAATGAAACCATATGTTATAATTGGACATGAACTGTAAGCCACATTTCAGACATTTACACACATACACAGCACATTTGTTTTACTATAACTATACACACCTTGTGCACATACACATACAAGCCCATTGACACAGGTGGCCATCTATATTTCTGATATATATATATATATATATATATATATATTATATCACTGACATCACTTTTGACCAACTCAAGTCAGGAGAAACAAACAGGTTCCTATATCAAACACGTTTCAACTGTTAGTAACAAATCATGTTAACTTGATATTTCAACCTGTCTCAGTATTGATTGATATTTAAGAACAGGTTTCATTACAAAGGTAACCTGAACATTTCTGGAAAAAGGACCATATGGAAAATGCAAAACACAACTCACCACTTCGAACGATGCTGACACCACAATTTCCTTTCTCATACCGAAGACCGTCATAGGTATGACCTGATATACAGAATAAAAAAGTTGAGTCAAGACCAGCTGAAAATTGAATTCAAACAATTGAAAAAAAAACAACAACCCTGAAAGCACGCAGGTGTTCTTCAAGGATCAAGCAGACAAAGTTTATCATAAAACACCTAAGTTTTAATTGAATGAAACCATATGTTATAATTGGACATGAACTGCAAGCCACATAAATAAATTTAAGGTTCCTATTTCCTTTCAGCTTCAGTTTTACATTGCTATTTCTATAAGAACAGGAAAGTAAGTTTCAATTTATCATAAAAACAAATATATAAAAATCAAACTCTGATATTTATAAAATTTTCAACAACTTCACTTGAGAACCTAATGAGATATACTGGAACTCAATGCTTCGGGACACACAGTGTCACTATGGGATCACACCAGGAAAACTGGTCAAGAGCTTAGAGAAACGATTTTTCAAATGAATTCCTCATGAACTTGAAATGAACCCCAGCTTCAAGAGAAGGGTACCAGAAAAGTCCAACTTCCATCAGTCTTTGAATAACAACTATTAAGTGTTTGGTGAATTTTGAAATTTTTTAAAGGATCCACAGAATGACTTTGGCAATGGTTTTAAAACAAAATACAGGTTGAATCATTTCCTCCTGTTGAGCAGAACACCATCGATACACACTGCATCCCATTTCTTCCCTTTTTGACTCTATTGTTGTATTTGTTCAAAATAATCTGGGAGAACTTACAGTTTTCCAACGAACCTATAATTACACTGTCAAGCAGAGAACACAGAGGGGTGATTCCATGAATCTCAACAAAAATAAGTAGTACAAGTGGTAAGGCTTTTAGTCTAACTAACCTGTGGGAGTTGTCACTGAACATTCTCTGTAAGGAAGCTTGTTCAAACCCTCTTCTACAACAAGTCTTATCTGTGGAGACAAGAAATACTTCAACAATCTCATAATCGTATTATATAATTAATTAATATATAAACACATCTGCCCCTCTCAGTGCAAACATCCCAGGTGAAATCAGCGTCAGAGTATGTTACCTCAAAGCCATCTGTGGCATAACGGTAATGCTCAAGAAATTAAGTAACATACAAAAGACCATCATGATTCAAGTTGGATTCCATCAATCATCTTACTTTCTGTGGGATACTATATCTTATATATTCTATATCTATATAGCTTGTATCTTTATTGTTATAATATCATGTAACAAATTTTGAATTCAATTTTCATATTAATATATAAAATATAAATAATTTTAAACAATGAATGCGACAACACAAGACATTTATGATTGTTGGACCAGACCTTTTAAAGAATTATACCAACAACCAATATCCATTTCCCATCACATAGACATCAATTTTTATACAGTAAAATTTGAACTAGATTCTTCTACATTTTATTTTATTTTGGAGGGAGGACTTCCGTAACGAGCAACCACTAAGAGACAGAGTAGAACAGAGGGCTAGGTCTCCTCTTTATTGCGTTTTTGTTGGGGAGGTCGTTTGTTACTGAAGTTCTTCCTTTTTGGATGATAAAAATACCGGAATCAAAATGAAACTCACAAGGCGGTCAGCATAGAAAATGAAGTCATTCCGCGGTGTCGACCTGTGAGAGAAAAATAATATACAATTTATTTTTCTTTAAAATTCAGTTGTGTGAGGAAATATACAAGGTGCACCAGTTATGAAAGTACCCATAGATCCACTCGAAAGAAACAAGGGGTAGTGAAAAAATGGTCAGAGCCGCGGGTAGATATTAGGCTTAAATAACTTTCACAGTCTTTGTTTCGAATTTATTATGTCTTTTATTTCAATAACAATACAAAGTCACGCTTGACACAGGTATACCTGTGAATACGTGAACAACATAGGTACTTGAGGACACACGAATAACAGGTGTGGACGAACATACATACAACAAAAATCAACTGAATATATCCTCTAAGGCTGTCACTAGCTAGCACACCTGCCTTCACTCCCCTCCCTCCATTTCAACCTTGCTTTGATAAAAAGGCCGGCTCTATTTCTCCGAATGCTCGAGAAAATAAACATTCACTCTATTTTTCTTCGAACACTCAGTAAAAATAAACTTGAACTCTATTCTTTGAATGCTCTGTAAAATAAAGCCTGGGGGAAAGGGGAAGTGGGCTGCGAGATCGGGGGGGGGGGGGAATCTTCAGCTTGTTTCTTGTTTGAAAACATGTAGGGGGTAAAGGCACACGCACATTAAAAAAAACTGCGAAGAGCCAGTGGAAACAGGCGGGAAGTGGGAATAATTCCTACAAGAACCAGTCGAGCGCCATAAATATAAAAGCTTATTTATAGGTGGGTCAAGCGATACTCAAGGGGGCTTATTATGCCTGCTTGTCTCTGGCAGCTTTTATTTCTTTCTCTGTCTCTGCTGGTTCCTTCTCTGTGTTTCTCTATCTGGTAGGGGTGGGCAGGTACCGGTACCCAGTACCGGAATTCCCAGTTCTACCGAAGGAGGGGTCAGTACCAACACCTGACCTCCAGTACCGCCTCTGGGAAGGAGAAGACACCAACAGTTAGTAGCGGCTCTGGGAAGGAGCAGACACCAACGGTTTTTTACTGGGCCACGGGAAGTGTGCAGTGTGTAGGCCTAGGCCTGGCAGCTGTGACATCAGATGCACAACGCAGCAGGTGACCTTGATACATGACTTCAGATTCAAAATTGACAATTTAAAAAAAGTGTACTTACTTTAATATAAAATTTAAATACGGCATCAAATCAGGTTTTACGCGAGCCACTTTGCATATTTTGATACGCTGATTCCGAAAATGAAATCAATTTTTAGCAGCAATAATCATTTAAAAAATTCTGCATGCTAAGTTTAATCCCGCGCGGCAGCAAACTTCAAAGGTGTTTTGCATCATAGTACGTCTCTCCAATTCTTATGTGTGTGTGTGTGTTTGGTAGGGGATGCGGGCGGCGCTGATCGTGGCGACGCGAGATGCAGTCTGTGACGTCACCTCCTGGTGTCATTCCCAGTACCGGTACCGCGGTTCTCGGCAGTGCCGAGAAAGTACCGACACTGGGTTTCGCCGGTACCGCCCAGCACTACTACCCGGCTGTTTCCAATAGATCTGTCTGCCTATCTGTCTCCTCTCTCCTATTTTCTCTCTTTCTCACTCACTGTCGTTTTCTCTCTCGTCTCTGTCTCTCTCCCTCCCACTCCCTCTCTTTCTCTCTCTTTCCCTCCCATTCCCTCTCTCTCTTTCTCTCTGTCTGTCTTTCTTTCCCTGTTTTTCTCTCATTCTATGTCTTTATTTCTTCATCCCCCTTTTCCTTGCTCCTGTCAACTTAAGCCGTCCACTGTACACTTCTCTATATCTTTGTTTTGCTCTCTCTCTCTCTGTCTTTCTGATTCTCTATATCTCCCCCTTCCTTACTCCGTTTATATAAGCAGCTCTATGTTTGAATTTGATGCAAAAAATGTTTCTTACCAGTCCTTGCAGAATGGCAGGGCCGAACTCTCGCAAATAACCAAAAATACGAAAATCGTTCGGAGAAATAGAGGTCAAGTATATTTTCCCCAGCGTTCAGAGAAATAATCACTTCGTAATAGTAATAAAAATCCCAAAACCAATTTAACTACATTTTTCGGAGAGGGCAAAAGGCCTTAAAAATGAGGGATGGACTCCTTTATATAAAACAGCGGCCGGGTTTACAGCGGGTACTACACTACACACTTGAAGAGGTCATTTGTCACAGGGTCATCCTACTCCTCTGCCTTTTTGCTTCACATATGGGTCATGTCATGGGGAAAAAATAAAAATTACAGGACGAGGGTTTTTGGGAACTCTAAAAACTAGAATCTAGATTCTAGCCTCCTACTTCTTCTGTACAGTATCTCATATTCATAGTCATAGAGATAGTGGTTTAGCTTTAGTAACTACAGGCAAGGCCTGCAAGGCTACAGGCTAAGCCTTTTTAAAGATGAACAAAAAAATTACAATTGAACAATAATTATAATTCCACTAGATCTATAATCTAGATGGCCACCTCTATTCTCACCCGGAGTGAGAATAGTGCAGGCGAGTCTTGTGGCTATTCTCACCCGGTGCGCGTTCACCCTAAACCACAGAATTTTACACTGTGATAACAGAAAAATTGTAGAATTCTGTGCCATGAACAAACGTTCCATTACAATTGTAGCCTACTAAAAGCGTACAATTTTGTCTGTGGGCAGTGGAGAGAGAGAGAGAAAGAGAGAGAGGAGTACCGCAAGAATTTCCGGGCAAAACAAAATGGTGACCCGCGTAGTTCGGCTCGATTCGAAAAGTTAAATAGCCGTAGCATCTTTGTAGACAACCAAATTTATTTACTTTTGTGTTCTAACATCATTTTTAAACTTTGTTTTGGTCAATTTGATCGTCCACACCGATAGACAGTATTCAGAAAGAGACGGAGAGAGAGAGAAGAGGGGAGGAGTTGATCTTGCGAGAACTTCCGGGCGGGTGAGAATAGCCACTTTCAATCTAGATATAGATCTAGATCTAGATATCTTTATTCTACATTCAATTGTCAATAAAAATAACGATCGGCACTATTTCTCCGAACGTTCTCTGTTGATTTGGTCTTTCAGTCGACAAAGTCAGATTGTCATCATCCGATGAACCATGCCGGGGCCATAATTGGACCTAGATTCTAGACTCTATCTACCACCTACTAAATTGACTTGTAACCGGAGGGATTGGTTTAGAGTTAGAGTACAGAGATCTTCTGATCTTCTCTAGATCTAGAAAATCTAGTCTAGATTAGATTCTATCCCTAGAATCTAGATTCTCTTCTATAGATCTATAATAATATAATATATCTCTAAAGTAGAGTAGAGTTCTAGACATATGGCATGGCATCATCTGGCATGGGCAATCACAAAATTCAATTAATTAATTCCACAACAGAACGTCCCCAAAGTACAGAAGGGGAAAACATGGAGGTCTTGTTCCTGGCTGCAATATTAATAATAAAAAACACAAGGTCTAACACGTAACATACTGCTGAAATCACCATCAGTCATCAGTGAATCAGTGACATAACGAGCCCCACTATTTCATTACACTTACTTGTCGCGTATAACTGTTTGAAGTTCTCTAATGCCATCTGTAACACGCAGCTGGACAACGTTTGCTCCTAAATCGAAGTCCTCTTCATCATTTGTATTAGATTCCAATGGCATCACTTTATTCTCGGCAGATTGCTCGGACAGAGGAATAACATCAGGCTCCATTGTTTATAAACTGATTTTCAATTTTCGACTGCTGTTTCCGCGTGGAACAGACAGCTTCGTTTGTTTCTACTCACTGGCCAGGTATTTTTAAAGACCACAAGGCTAAAATGAATGTGTCAGCATTTAGGGTATTTCTGCTTGATGAGCAATATGTTGAAGAATATTTAATTTAATTAAGAAATAAACCGTCCAAAAGAAGCATATTATAGGCAATGTGAACAAAATCTAACAGCATTATCTTTTTTTTCTGAAATTTGTAATTATTTATTTGTTTTGTAATATGTCGATTGGGGATTATAGCAGCTTTTTTATACACCAATGCCATTGCACTTTGAACCTTGACCTCCTGTGTTGTTGCCTTCACTCACTGTCTTCTTAGATTCTCTTGCCTCTATTCTCCCTTCACTCATCAACTTTGCGTGTGTTTGCCCTACTTGATCGTGCGGTGAACGCTCGACAGGCCTTGCATCTGGTGGTACTGAGCTCAACTTGTGTAGCCAAGAGGTATTTAGTTTTGTATCAAACCTGGATTTGTTAAGAGAACCTGCTTACTGTAACAGCTAGCCGGCTGCTTATTTAGCAGTCATGCACGGCACGGCATAAATAACAAGTCTAAACTCAGATGTCGTTAGGCTACAACAACTAGATCTGCTATTGAACTAAACTATAAATAACACAGACATACAGTAGATCTAGTACCGTGCCGTAGATCTAGACGTAGTCTGTTATTATTCACTTTTTAAAGAGTATTTAATGGCGCGCGCAACTGCATACAGTATGAGTAGCCTTATTATGCTTGAAATAATTAATATGTTGAGATCTGTCTCCAAACATAGCATGATAACGCCATTAACACGGCATCTACAGTATTAAAGATGCATAGCTCCATAAAATAGAATATTATTTTCAGACGCAAGCGTGGGAAAACAAACAAAAACAAGAAAGACAAAGAGCTGTGGACCCACTGATCGTGATCGAGCAGAGCCAGTGGTTTTACTCCTTTATTCCATGAAAAAAATACGCATGGGCAGTGTAATATAAATATATTATAACTCATTGTGCCGTGTAATCTTCCTTGTTTGGTTCAATTCTTTAAATGTCTAAACCTTTGTGCGTTGTTTATCAATTGATTTACCAATATATAAGCTAGGTGATGCCTGTTATGGTCGTGGCGTCGGTAGCGTGGTTAGGCTACCGGACTCGTAATTGTGAGATTGCGGGTTTGGGGGTTCGAGCCTCAGCTCGGTCCGACGTTGTGTTCTTGGGAAAGGCACTTTGCACGAATTTCCCATGTGGCTCGGTCCTTTCGGAGATGGACGTTAAACTCGGAGGCCCCGCCTCTTAAATAACCTAATAGTGTTGATAGGGGCGTTAAACTTATACCATTTTATTTCTGTTACGGTCGAAAACATAGCACTCACAAAAGCAGTTTATTCATGGGGGTTTTAAGTACTGTACCGTATTCATCGACACCGGAAGGGAAGACTGCAACAGCCCCACACCACCGCTCTGTCACCGCTGCCTCTCTCCCCCTGCGCAATCACTAGGCTAGGGGTCTAGGAGTTGGGGTCTTTGACCTTAGAAGAACAAAGCACTTCTGCAAGTTTGAGTTGTCTCCCCTTGTGGAAGAGATCAGAGTTAGTGAGCGATAAGAACTCGGTGAGCGACTAGAGATCGAGATTGGATCGATCCCGATCATGATCGGCTCGCCAATCTCCAATCTTTGTGGATCGAGATCTCGCGCAACCCTACTGTCTGAGACTACACCTCCCCCCTCACAACCCGTTTTCCCACTCATACACACAGACCCAAACACTATCACACTCAAACACACACACCATTATATTTTCAATTATGTGCAGGTCTGTTCAACGCATGTATAATACATGATTGTTCAACCCCTGGCTCATGGCATTATGCCCGAAAAGCTAAAAAGCGACTTACTAATACTGATAACTTAAAATTTAAGTCCCTCAAAGAACTCCGAGACCTGACAAGTAGGCCTACTCAGATAAAATCGAAGCTTTCCGATTTTCTGTGGCCTGTCAAAGAACCCTGATCAGATTTGCATAAATTCTTTTTTCTTTTAAATTCCATTTCTTTCAGTAATTTATCTTTTGTTGTACTTGAAGTGAAATTACACAGGTTTATATGCAACATTTGCGCCACTTATATATCATAATAAGTGACGTGAAAATATGCACTTTTATTTGCGTTTATTTACAATTCACCTTAATTTGTCATGGTTAGTTTATATTTTGATCTACTGGGGTTCTGGAGATTCCAATTTTTTCCACTAAATTCCAGTTTTTAGGGAGGATCCTGCTGAGGAAAAGTCTAATTAATTTTTTTTGTCATAAAAGTGGTTTTGGTTAGCAGATCTGCCCTCTCCCCCTCCCTCCCCCCCCCCCCCCCGAAATAAAAGGTTGCCTAAAATTTGTTGCCACCAGGTCTTCATTGGTCTTAAATTCTAGATTTACTTGTGGAGGCTTCCTCCCCCTCCTGCCCCCTCTTATAACCATAACGCACGCACGCACACACACATGCACGCACACACACACACACACACACACACACTCACACACACACCTCACATGACCTGTGAACACATCGTCCTGTTTCTTTTTCCATTAGATAAACCCTAAAATTCTGTTCTTTGGACTGGGGTTGGCAAACTGTTTACCCAAAAATCATGTCCATCCTCTTCTGCTAATCTAATCCCATCTGCATTCTTTGCCCTAGTCAAATTATATTTCTTTGATTTTATTTTCTTTGCCTCGTTTAATGACTTGATAAAAGTTTGGTAAAGAGTTATAATTACCTTCTATTCATTCTACAGTTCCTGGAAACAAGAGGATGGCTCTTGTTAAAAGTTTAGTCAGTCTTGTCAATGTCCTGGAGACCTACAGAGGACGGGATCGCTTTATACGATGGATCACCTACGCAGGAATGTATATGGGTGGAGATGGCAAGACTCCTGCTCAAGTCAAGTGGAGGACTCTCTCTGCGGAGATGGGAGCATGCCGTGTCATTCTCAGACTATTTGATGACTTGCCTATGTTCTTGTTTAATCTATCGAAAGGTTTTGGGTTCAAGGTACGTACTTTTCTCTTGTATACCTGGGAGCTGAAGATATTTTTGCTTGGCCCATCTATTTTTAAATTTATATATATATATATATATATATATGCGGACAAGTTTACTTTGCCACAGGATAGAAAGTTGTGAAATAACCATCAATAACTTACCATATTTCCTGCCTAGGATAGTTTGGTTACCGCTGTATCCAAACATATGTGTGGGCATGAGTCCACAGTCATAGTGCAAATACCATTTCCCAGGAGGTTTCATAAGTTTTTCAGGTCAAAAGCTTGTCTTAAAAATATCCACTGACAGTATAACGCGGAGAGCTCAAATTCATCAGGACCGACCTCGATAGTTCGAGGGATCAGTAGTTCGAGGGGTAACTTACAGAGATAAAGAAGAAAAAATTAAACAGAACCGCGGGTACAGTTTGACGGACGCATGATTTCAAGTATTTTGTGTTTGACCTGTCCGTGTTATACTGTATACTGAAATAATGTTGTGAAAAACTTTCTGCTTCAAGATCAGCAACCTCTTAAATAACGTCACAGCGTTGAAAGGGGGCTCAAAGCTTAAAATTTGGCTATTTTGTTCAAGGTTCAGATTTGTTTTCATTGAATTATGATTCATTTTAGTTGTTCAGGGTATAATAATTCTTAGTAAAGATTATAATAACAGTTTCTGTAGAGATCAAAGCTGGCACATGTATCTCACTATATTTTCGCCTATTCACATATATTTGAAAAATATTTTTTTGCTTGAATAAGTTACATTAAATTCTTTAGGTGAAACCAACTGATGAAAACATGTTTTGTCTCCATTTATAAAAGGAAAAAGGCATAATGCAGATTCTGGAGGTGTTAAGCTCTTTGCTGAACCAGGCGTTCTACCCATCAGAGCATATTGCCTGGTTGAGACAGAAGAAAATTCTGGATGGGCTTCCAACCCCAATGCTGTTGGTTGGTCTCTTCATCTGGGCAGTTTCATTGCTGGTGGAGATCATCAAGTAAGCATGATTTGTATACAGTTGGGTGTGTTTAACATGAGATTATCAAGTAAGCATGATTTGTATAAAGTTGGCTTTGTTTAACATGAGATTATCAAGTAAACATGATTTGTATACAGTTGGGTATGTTTAACATGAGATTATCAAGTAAGCATGATTTGTATAAAGTTGGCTTTGTTTAACATGAGATTATCAAGTAAACATGATTTGTGTACAGTTCTCTTTGTTTAACTTGAGATTATCAAGTAAACATGATTTGTATACAGTTGGATTTGTTTAAGTACGAGATTCCTGTTACCAGAAAGGGATTTTGAATCCCTGTTTCTTTTTTCTCCTCAGCATTATTTGCATCGCAGCTTTCCTCAACTGGAAATCTGCTTAATATGAAGGAATTCTCTGCTCCTATTAAGTTTTTGTTATAGAGATTTTTATTTTACTGTATATAATATATATATATAATATATTCATTTTTATAATGTAACATGATATAGTGTGCTGTTATTGCCTATCTAGAAAATGGCAGCTTTAGCTTCTAAGCTTAGAACCAAAGAATGGTATATATAAGTTGAGGTGATTGTTTAACACTTTGCTGTGACAAGGCTCATATAGTAAAAACTCGTGCCATCAAAGGCAAAGGCATTTTGGGGAAAATCCAAAGAAACTAGGTGGTAGATATCGGTGAGATGCGACGCCAAAGTGTTAACCACTTGAGTTTGATGAGAACAATTCAATCCTCACACTAAATGTGCAATGTGGACGGTTTCATCCGCTGGTAATACTTTCCAACTTGAAGGTGCAGAAAAATTATATCAAAACCAACAGTGCAAATGACTACCAACAACATGAAGAAGGTAATTTTGCACTAAATTCAAGTTGTTTTGGGCGCTTTTTTTTTTGTAGAAATGAGTGCTTCACTCACTTCAAATTTTGTCTTATCTTTTTTTGAAGTGGTTAAAAATAGCTTTGACGGGAGAAGTTAAAATTGGACTGTGAGGGTAAAGCTTTCAAACTCTTATATATATATATATTCAAATTATGTTTCTTTCAGAGGACTGCTGAAACTCCGAGGTCTGGCAATGTTAGCCTTGAAACTAAAAAAGCAGAGACAACTTGACAAAGATGGGTGAGTTTAGTGTAAAACTGATGCTTTTGGGGGGGGGGGGTTATTCCCTATGAACTGGGTAATAAAAATACGAATGATTTAAGGATAAGACGCTGAAAAATCTGAAGTTTGAAAAAAATCAAATTCGGTTTTTGTCTTAGATCTTAGATCTGTTTGTTGTGTAAATAAATTTTTGATTTGTACATTCTTAGGAAGATGCAAAATATTGGAAGTTGATCTTTTAAAGCTTGACACTGATTCTCACTAGATATCTTGATTTGGATGAGGAGGAGAAATTATTTTTATCGTCATGTCTCTTCACGACTGGTACCCAGAAATTGTTTTATTTTATAAAATACATCTTCGGAGTAGGAAAAATAGGTAATGAAACTTCCCTGATGTCAAAAGTAATTTAGAAATGTGGCTACATGCAGCCCAGTTAGTCTTATGAGTGTTACAGTATTGTATGGATGAGTTTTATTTGTAAGTCAGTACTATAAGATTTGCTTATATTTCTTGCTTGTTTCAAATCAAAATTGACAATTGTATCATACATCTTAAAGTGACATTTTGAAAGTCTTTTTTCTCAACAATATTATACATGCTGCTTTCAACTGATTACCATATTGTGAATGAATTGAAGTCAGAGAGTGTGCATTACATGTTGGAAAGGGCTACTGATTGCTCCTTCTTGTTTCTGTGTTTTTCTCCCCTTTCCTGCTGACATTTGTTTCCTTTCTTCTGCTTCAGTTCTGGGCAAGGTTCCAGCCAAAATGCGGAGATAAAGGACAACTTGAAGAAGCTGGCCAGCGAGCGCAGAGACGTCCTGCTGCTGTTGGCACACTCGTGTTGTGACCTGGTCAACGCTGTGTCCTGGATGCCGCCTGGTATTCTGTGGTCACAAAAGTTGTCGCCTGCGACCAACGGAGTGTTTGGATTGATTGCCACAACTATCATGTTGTACAGAAACTGGCCAACGACAGCGCCAACTGTCTGAATTGTTTAGATAAGTGCTTTGAAGATATGTTATGCTGAAATATGTTGAGACTGCTACGTGCAAAATTTGAACGGAATCGTGAGGTACAAAGTGCTTTCACAAATGCTCAAGATGTGGTTTAAATTTGTTAGTTTCTGTTAGACTTCACTCGTCTTACTGTATAAGGTTTTATTTTGAACCCTCTCCCCACCTTCCTGCCAGTGTTTTGGGAAAGTGAGAGATAGACCCATTGCACTCTAGCAGGATGCACGACCCTGCCAACAATAAGAGAACACGTATGGTTATTGGTGCTCGCACATACAGGTCGTCGCCTCAGAACTATTTTGCCCAAAACTTAAGTACACTTTGGACAAAATACTTCTGAGGCGACGAGGTGTGATATAATTATTTTGTGAAAAATCTCAAGTCTACATCTTTTTTTTTCTTCTTCTTTCACCTCTCCAGGATGCAAGAGACCAAGAATGTTTCTTTTGAAATGACCAATTTTATGTTTTGTTAGTTTTTGCACTCAAGGTACGAGTATAACAACATTCAACTTTTATTGTTTATGGCTTTGTTGGATGTAGTACTGTGATCCGTTTTTATTTCGAGAGATGTGTAACCGTAAAATTACACTTTTGTTTTGTGTGGGCTTTTCTCTTCATCATTGTGAGCTGTACAATGCAGTCTCATCAGAATAGTTTTCTCTAAATCTTTTAAAATCTTGACTCTTAATCAAAAGGTTCACATATCTGTCTTCTGTGTGACGATATTTATTCAGTTGAAATTTTGAGTTTACAGTTTGTGGATCAGTGTAGCAGCTGCTCTACTTTCCGTCTCGGTAACCATGGAAACGACAAGTGACGCGAGGTAAAATCTTGTTCTGGTGTGACTGAGTTGTCTCTTAGGATCTGAGAAGTTCTCTGTTCTAAGGAAAATGAAGTTCTGAGAACTTGCTGACACTTCCACCTCTCCTCTTTTCCCCAAGGAAGGGCTTCTCACATCTGTCCTTTGTTTCTCTTTATCGTTTACTTAATTGAGATACTTACAACTTTTTCAACATCCAATGCTGGAAATGTGACTGCAAGATTTGTTTTTGGATGCTGAATATTTTCACTTTCCTTTTTATTTTTATTTACCTGTTTTCATAACAGGTAGAGAAGATTCGGGTAACTTTGTCACTTTAAAGCTGGTCTCTTCGTAAACACACTTTACTCTTGTTAAACAGTATAATAATAATGGGTGTCTCGCGAAAATGGTCTTTTGTCCTCCTTTTAAAAAATTCTTAGTTGAGACCCATGATTAGGTGGATGTTCATAGGCCTACCTCCGAGGAATTGAAGAGCCTCTACACTGTGGAAGGAAACTTCAGCCTCAACATCGTAGGGCTCTTGGGGAAATCCCTCTAATGGTGTCAGAGGGCATGTACACAGATTGGGGGATCTGTCTCCTGTCCAAGGGCACGATTCCGGTGGCCTGGAATGCTGTCTTTATCAGGGGTGGTCTCAAGGTGGAGTCCCAGATCTGCTTCAAAATTCTTGGCCATGTCGCCTCGTTGATGGTCAGATTAGGAAAAGTTGAAAGAAACTCTGTACAATGCTTTCTGTATCAGTCTTGAATGGTTTCAATTATACGACTTTGTCAAGAGGCTGGAGGATGTGGGTGGTGTGAGGAGGCAGGGCCAGAATATGTATGTTCTCCTCTTGGGCAATTTCCAATAGCTCTAACACTTAGTGACTGTGGTGAGAGTCGAGTATGAGCAGCTGGGGTCTTGAGTCCCTGTAGTGTTGAAGAAAAACACATGAAAACCACTGCACTCCGATTTCATCGTCTATCCACCAAGGATCACAGTTTTCCGTTGGTGGATCCACGATTTTCCGCGGTTGAGAGAATTTTCCAAAATCGAGCTGGCAGTCATCCACCCTCGCCTTAATTCGGGCCGCAGTAGGCCTTGAGTAACCTGAGATCGGCTCTAAGGCGCTTTCCTTGGAGGGGCTGCATCTGGCTAGTACATTCTGTGACCCTTTTTCGGACACTACCCTAATAAAAGCATTTGGTGAGAACTGCAGCCCAGTCTCATTGCAGTTCCACACCTGAGCAGGCTTGTCTTTGAGTTGCTGCTTCTGAAATAATGATTCTAAATCATCAAAGAACCCTGAACAAGTGATTATCTTCCGACTAAGAACACAACACACAAGACTGAGACAACATATGTACAGATGTTTTAAACTAGTACAATCACCAAAATGCTAGTGTGGAGAGGCAGACCAAACTGTTGAACACATCCTTCAGCACTGCAAGACACACAGGGCCCTGAGACAGGAAACGTGGCCAACCCCACTGACACTACAAGAGAAGCTATATGGGCAGACAGATGAACTAAGCAGGACGGCCCAATTTATAACAGATACCAGACTTCAAATGTGATGCGATGGAGAAGAAGAAGAAGAAGATAAAAAAAGAATCCGCTGATGACTGGGCGTGTAGTCATATTGTGATCCTGGTAGAGGCACAATTCTGGGGGTTCCTTTTGGTTAGGTCTGGACGCCTTTTAATTAGGTTGTATCAGGAATCCTTACCTGGTTCACCTGGGTTTTCAGGCCCAGTCTCTCAACTACCGGTACCCTCCCCACTTTCTTTAAAAACTGTGGTTTAGTGAGTGGGAACCCAGCTTTGGAAGCTCTTAATTGCCCGATCAACTATGGAATTTAGTGACACTTGAACTGGTCTGAAAATAGGTCAGGTGGGTTATTCCATTGTAAAGTACAACAGGGAGACCAGGTGGCGAAGTTCCTTGAATCTACTCTAGTTGGCCCCTAATTGGTTTATGTTCCCAAATAACAAGGCACTGATGCACTCTATCTCAAAGGCAAATGGTACTGTGATGTGGTATTTATGATGGATAGGGTGTGTATACTTCCTATATTTTTACCCAGCACTTAATGACATTTATCATGTCAGTATGCTTCTTTTTGACTCAATCAAAAAGTACGACTACTTTCTTAACTCTTTCCGGAAGTAGTTGTTTTGGGGTCTAGACGTAATTAACTTGTGACTCATTTCGGCTACTCAGGTGATATACAAAATAACTTCATTTAAGCATAACCATTGCTCAAAACGTAACATGTGATATATCAAATTGAAGGAAATTGAATAAGGAATACATTCCAACATGAAACAATGATTAATTTTGAAAACAAGTATGCATTACAAGGGTCAGAAATGGCAATGGTGGTGAGAAAAATACATTTTGATGGAAAAAATTACACACACTCAACTCGTGAAAGCGAATCAGCATGGCTATCTTATCATATACAGACCAAGAGCAGACTCCATAAATTTCTGAATGTGCAGCTTTTTATTTGAATGCAATATTCCAATTTTTGTTTGAGTTATGATATTTATACTAAGTCCGGTTAGATCGTTTTGTTGATGCAAGACCGCGAGAACTAATTCGCTCGTTTTTCGCCAGACCGACACTTTGACAAAGTGAAACTAGATTTTTCGTTTCCTAAACCCTTTCCAAGTTTTCAGTAACAATTAAAAGTACTTATAAACAATGGATCAAGTTTAAACTAAACAAAACTGAGATATATCGGCAATACGTCGGGAAAGAGTTAAGAACTGTTTGGGTTTTTTTCAGTATATAATATGATGTATTGTTTGGAGTGAAACATCTTGTTTGCTTTGCGGGTAGGATGGTTCGTCATTGTTTTGGGAGTAAGATGGTTCATTCTTGCTTTGGGAGTAATTCAGCCTTTTTTTGATAAATGTGCAAAAGTAGTAGGCCTAAAGTCTTTCCTTCATTTAAGACTTTTGTCTAAATATGAACATAATATGGCCTTATGCGCGTTGCACCGGGGGCCTAAAAGATTGCATCTGTTATTCCTGAAATGCAACATATGCTGTGTTGTTGCCAGGGTGCTGGAGCAAAGTGTGACATACAGCCTTTCATTTTTTCCTCACTTCTACTTTTGTACATCATCAAGAAAGGCCTATAATATATGTATGTCTCTACTCTGTACATCAAATTGTACCGGTACACTATTTACCTCTGTGGAGATAAAACTTAACCGTTTCATTTTTTGTTACGATTGATACTACTCAGTATACATGTATGTGCAATTTACATATTATCTAATAATATTTTTCTGAATATATTCATTCTTTGTGGGTTTGTTCTTTTTAATACTTTCAACTACATTTTTTTGTGTGCCATATTCTGTTTCGGTCTGTTTCAGTTACCCACCATCTGAAAGTGTTTTTAGTGCATTATTACTGGTGCTGTTAAATTATTTGAGTACTGGTGGTTCTTTATTTTTTAAGAAAATTTTTAGCTTTGGATACGAAAAGAAGCTACTGGTATATATATAGTTTTTCATTTTCAATGTCAACGTGTGATGTTGACAGCATAGTACGTGGGATTCCGGACTAAGAACAGTAAGTTTGTTGGTTTGAATCCCAGTTTTAGTTTTAGGCACAACCGTAAGTCTGTGAGAACGGCACTCTGTTCAATTTTCCCTGTTTTATTGTATCCTGGTGAAAATGTAGCCTACTGTGACAATAAGAGTAAAATATTTCACCAGTTATTTCATGTTTGAGCACCTGTGAAATGGAAGCTTGAATTTACACTTTTGAGAAAGCTGAGAATATTTCTCAATGTTTTAGGGTGTATCTATCTGTATCATGGTTTAATGGACAAGATAATTAAACAGAATTAATATAATCAAAGCAGAACGATTTGTTGCTGACTTCGTTTTTCTTCTTTCTCTGGCAAGGATATTATATTCTGTATAGCATGACGGATAATTGTGGTGGCTTTCTGTTGATATTGTAAACTAAATAAGCGGTTCATTTCTGTAAAATAATGAATAATATTTGCTTTTGTGATCGATTGTTTTCAAAAGAATTATAGATGAAAACTGTTGTTGTATCTCCACAAAGTGTCTGGGAAATTTTATTTTTTCACTGGATTTTTTCATATAAATGTGAGAAGCATTTATTTAGGCTACATATTGTTAATTAGTACAATGGAATCCTGTTATAATGAGAGGGAGGGGACCGGTGCCAAATGTCCGTTATAGCAAGATTCTCGGTAAAAGGGATCCAGCAATAAATTCAAGGGAAATAATAAAGTAGTCCTAATCTATGAGTCTGGTTTTCGGTTTATTTCTTTTTGTAATCTCCTCTGATGATTTCGCTCAACATGACCTTTAAGTCTTACTTGATCTAAAGTCGAATCAGGTTTCTTTCTCTAACACTAGCAATGTTGATGATCAGTGATCAGAAAAAAAGTTTTTTTGGCTAACTCACCCGCTATGTTGTCCCTCACCCCACCAGACCCTGTGGTGCGTTCCGTCTGCTTGCGCATTATGGGAACATACCACACCCAGCCCACGCCACACTTTCGCTCCGTCCCTCACAGCACTGTGGCCTCTTCATCTCCGCATCGGAGAAGTGAGAGGCATGATAGGCCTAGATAATCTAGACTAGGCTGGCCTGTCACACGATGCGTGTGCATGCCACACTCTCCCCACTCATTTGCTCCGGCCTTTATTGTTGGCACCCGTGGGCTCTCCCATTCTTTGTTTCGCAAGATAACCAACAAGTTTCTCAACTGGTGAAGTTTTACATATTTATTAATAAATGGCCTATGCGCTGTGCACAGCAGCAGCAATATTCCGTTATAACCCACTCGTGTGTTTGTCTGATTGCGTTATGGCAGTATTATATTTACAAAGATAAAGAAGGGAAAAAACAGGGTTTTAGAGTAGTGTCTTTATAACAGACTTCTCATTATTTCAGGACTCGTTATAAGTGGATTCCACTGTATTAAATATAGCTCAATAACAAAACCAGCCTCCCAAAGCCTTATTTGGGCTATCCGTTCCTTGTGACAGTAATTGTTCTCTTGAATTGAAAGAGTTAAAACTTTCCTGTCCCAGTTTGGCGCCTTTCTAATTCAGCTCAGTTTTGTCACTGTGCTTGATGACAGTGTGTGCCAGTGTATGTACTATAGATTGTTTGGGATACATAGTCATATATCTACATGTATACTGGGCGTACTTATGTGGGTTACAATAATATAAATATAGTGTAGCCTAAATGCGGTCACCCTTTAATGTACGTATGCTACAGGTTGGTTTTGCTGACCGGGTCGCATTTTCTTAAACCATAAATTAATTAAAAGGATGGAATGAAAAAAAAAAATTGGGTTGCATCTTGGTCTAATAGGAAAAAGTTTTAAGATTTTGGTGTTAATTCTATGGGTGACCTTATTTAGGCCACATATGGCCTAAATAAGCTAAACCCCCCTCCTTTACCTTATTTAGGCCACAC